TAACGGATGACAACGACAGTCTTTTCGCCCTTCTTGATCTCGCCACGCTCGAGAGCAGTGATGAAGTCATCCTCAGCATCGTAGCACTTGGCCTTGCCGGTAAATTGGGTGCCCTCCTTGCCAGTGATCTTGCCTACGGAGCCTCCGGGGGCAAGGGATCCTCTCAAGATTTGCAAGTGACCAGAGGACTTTAGAGGTTCGCTGAGCGGTCGGATGATCTTCTGCTCGGCGGGGAAATCTCTGACGTTCTCCAAGTTCTCCTTGAGTGTCTTACCAGTCACAGTCATTTGGCTACCATCGAGAAGTCCTTCCTTAAGCAGGAACTTGAGAAGCGACGGGGTGCCACCGATATCGTGAACGTCGGCCATGACGTACTTTCCGGAAGGCTTCAAATCCGCCAACAATGGAATGCGGTCGCTCACGCTCTGGAAGTCGTCAATGGTAAGCTTGAGACCAACAGAGTCAGCGATCGCGATCAAGTGAAGAACAGCGTTGGTTGAGCCACCGGTGATGCTGATGACGACCATGGCGTTCTCAAATGCCTCGCGGGTAAGAATGTCGCTCGGGCGGATGTCCTCCTGGAGCAATTTCTTAATGGCACCACCCGCTGCCAGACACTCCAGCATCTTCGCCTTGGAGTTCGCTGGGTTCGACGAAGAGCCAGGTAGCGACATGCCCATGGTCTCGATTGCAGTAGCCATTGTGTTTGCTGTGTACATTCCTCCGCAAGCACCCTGCCCGTTGCAGGCGTGCCTGATGATGTCGAACCGCTGGTCTTCGGTGATTTCGCCCGTGATGAACTGGCCGTATGCTTGGAAAGCGGAAACGATGTCGATCTGCTGGTTCTCGAGGGTCTTCGCGCAGCCGGGCTGGATGGTACCGCCGTAGACCATGAGGGAGGGCCTGTTCACACGCCCCATGGCCATGATGACACCGGGCATGTTCTTATCGCAGCCGGGGATGGAGATGTTCGCATCGTACCACTGGCCGCCCATGACTGTCTCGATGGAGTCTGCGATAATCTCGCGCGACTGCAGCGAGTAGCGCATGCCCTTTGTGCCCATGGAGATGCCGTCGCTAACACCGATGGTGTTGAACTGCATGCCCAGCAGCCCGGCCCGCTCGACACCCTCCTTGACCTTGTGGTTCAGGTCCATCAGGTGCATGTTGCACGGGTTGCCCGAGTACCAGACGGACGAGATGCCGACCTGGGCCTTGTTCATGTCCGTCTCGCTCATGCCGGTGGCGTACAGCATAGCCTGCGAGGCGCCCTGCGACTTGGGCTGGGTGATGTGCTTGCTGACCGAATTGAGCTCATTGTCGGCTTTGGCGGTGCGGATGGCGGAGCTGGAAAGCGCACGTCTGCAAGCAATTAGACTGGCGGGCCGGACGTGTGGTGGACTTGGGGACATACGCTGCGTGCCATTGCGGCCGCGGGGAGCACCTTGCGCGCGCGAGAGCACCTCCAAAGCGTGCGAGAGACATGGTGGCGGGCTGGCTGCTCCTTCCGTGGCGGCTGGCTGTTCCTGATAATTTATCGATGCGAGCTCGGAGGCCGCGGGGACGGACGCTTCTCCGACTCCAGGGCGTTGCATCATCTCGCTCCTCATTGGTCACTCTCTTCTCCCCACAACAGCGGCCATCTCTTCTCCCCCGCCATTATGATTTCTATCAATGACTCCATTTAAGCCTTCTTAGCTCTTGGCCTTGCATGGCGAGACGATCGACCCCGATCTAGTCTATCTGAACTTGCAGTCGAAGGTGCATTCAGGTCAGCGACGATAAATTATTTACGCCTACCCATTCACTCGTCAGAACTCTGGTATCTATTTGCTCGTGTATTTGTGTAGAGGCACAATCACCTGCGTGAATAATGATGAATACGTATTGTTCAACGATGTCCTATTGTCACAGTCTGCAGCCCATCACATCGCTCAAGCTAACATCATGGACATTCAAGTCTCAGTCGTACTTACTAGATGGATTTCCTCTGTTGCTTTCCTCCTCTGTTTCTATGCAATATACTGTCCGAATCCGCTTTGAGAAGACTTGCATCACGAAATGAGGCTTTTCCCTCTTTACTGTCTCTTATTTCCTTACCTTGCGCTGGCCGCAAGTCAGGTCTATACAGGCTTCAACTACGGTGCTTTCTGGGGTCTTGAGGAAAATGCCAAACTGAAAGCAGACTTCCTCGATGGCTTCAACCTGGCCAAGAACCTGACTACCGACATACCCTTTGATAGTGCCCGCCTTTTTACTTGCAGAGCAGCGAAAACCCTCGACGACCCGACCGAAGCTTTTGATGCCGCTGTTGCCTCCAAAACCAACCTGTTACTGGGCTTCTGGATAACACCAGCGCAGAAGGGCGGTTCACCTGATGAGAACGTCAAAAACGAGATGGCCGCACTCGAGAAAGGGTTTAAGAAGCACGGTCAAGCGCTTTCCGACCTCATCATTGGACTCTCTGTAGGCAACGAGGATGTATACCGTGCCGAGGCGACTCAAGAAGTTGGTGTTACTGCAGCGGTCGTTGCGCAGACCATAGCACAGGTGAAGAATAGCATCGCTTCCTCATCGTTCGCCCAGTACATGAAGGACAAACCAATCGGCCATGTCGATACCGCGCAATATGCCGTGGTGGATAATGCAGACTTCATCGGCATGACTGCATACCCGTACTGGAACAAAGACAGTATCGGAACAGCAAGTACAAGCTTCCAAGGCTCTCTCGAGAGAGTCAAGCAGCGCGCAGGCAACAGACCGGTTTGGATCGCGGAAATGGGCTGGCCTTTTACCGATTCCGAGCAACACGGCGCTGCAGTTGCCGGTATAGACGAACTCCAGAAGTTTTGGAGTGAGGTTGGCTGTGCTGTGTTTGGGAAGTACACTACTTTCTGGTTCGAGTTACTCAAAGACACTACATCGGATCAGAAGGCCGATTGGAGTGTCATTGATCCAAGCTCTCGACAGTCAAGAATCAAGAACATGAGCTGCGGAAACCCTCAGCCTAAGCCACCCGCTGCAGCCCCAGCTAGCTCACAAGCATCATCTACGTCTATTGCAACATCACCTTCAGAGACACTCAGCTCTGGGTCGCCAATCATTCCGAGTGCCGTGCTTACGTCATCACCTCCTGTATCGTCGACAATCGAATCAAACACAGTACACGTAACGGTGACCGGCACGACTTCTGTGACTCCGCAGCCTATCACACCTTCGGTAGTAGCACCCGGCGGACCATCTCTTGTGACTGTCATAGTTACCTTGACGAGCATCACCACTGTAACAGCACAGCCTTCAATGACCACAATAGCGAGCGCGAGCCGATCAATAGCCCAAGATGATGCCGTCAGCTTCCTCGGTATGTCTTAATCCAACGCAAGTCCTGTTAAAGCTAAAGTTTCCCAGCACAAGACCAGCCCGTAACAGGCCGCAGCACCGTCACCGTTAAGACCACAGCAACAACTGTCGTCTTTGCCAAAACAACAGCAATTGCTGCTCTGAATAACATACCCGCCGACGTCAACTGGTGCGTCACAGTCGCGGACATAAACCGAGATGGAAGCCCTATCCCCGTCGCAGGTGGGCCTGCAGGGGCAGGGGGAGAATGCGTCCCCCCTTCAACTTTCCAAGGATACCCGTACGCAGCAGCAGGAGAAGTCGCGACACCATCAGGGATACCGAGTGGGACAGGTTGGTGCGTTGTCATGGCTGATATCGATAACAATGGTCGTTCTGTACCTGTTGATGCTGGGCCCGTTGGAGCAGACGGCGAGTGCACTGTTCCGCCCATGTACAGTGGACTGTCCGCGACAGCTACGTTGATTGGCGGTTCGAAGACATCTGAGCCGGCGAAGGTGTCTCTGAAGCCTACCTCTCTGACAGTAGAGTTCTCCTTGCTCTCAAGCATCAATGTACCAGCTACTTCTGGTACTCCATCACCTAGTAAGTCACTCGATTAACTTGACGTCTTGAAGCTTTCTGACGACATCTATAGCTTCAGCAATTAAATCAGAATACGAACGTCGCCGGCGTCGATCTGTAGTATCATCCACAACAGATACCACAGCATCAACCTCAGTATCTGCTACAAATACAGAACCAGCATCGCCTCTGCCGACTTCTACCCATTCCAGCACTTCAGTCAGCCTACCCTCAGGCCCATCCGGCGCAACTCTCTCAGAGTTTAATTGGCCTACGCCGACGGCTCGAGTAGAAGCCAAGATGAGCATCAAAGGTAGAGATGAGGTATTACTTACGCGACGTGGCTGGAACTCGTTCTGGGCGAAAATCGGTTCTTGGGCCAAGAAGACTGTAAACAATATTAAGAATGCATTCCACCACTAAGGTCGTTTATCTTTGTCCTATATCGCGGAAGACTGTTCAAAGCTGCTTTAATGAGTATGCGAGATATTAGATAATTTCAATGTACTTCATACTTCATACCATGTCTTAATGAGCTTAGATTGCAATAGTAATACATCGGATTCACCGCCCATGAATTCTTTTTATAAGGCGCACATTAGTACATCGTCAATTGAATCAAGACAGTGAAAGTCGCATCACGATTGCCCTTGCCATCGCCTTCGGGACAACACTTGGGTGTCTTGCTAGGGTGCAGCTCGCAATCACAGAGGAAGAAACACAAAACTCTCGAAGTGAAATAGTCATTCATCAACCGTCGCATTGACGGCAGGTTTGTTTGTTTGTTCATTCATGTGATATCTCATCTCTCGTGCCAGCTAACATAAGTTTTCCGTAACCGTAAAGAACCCGAGATAGTCCACCATATTACACCTGACAGACTCCGAATTCGCACTTTTGCGGATAACCCGATAACCTAAAACGACTAAGATGTTGAAGGCGCTTGCCCATATCTTTCTATCAAGGTAAATGGTAGATGTCGATGGGCCAGAAACTTCGATACACAAATCCACAGCGCAATGCCATGTCTGACGCGACTTGCCGAGGATGACGCGCGTCTAAGCAGCAGCCGCTACCTAGGCGGCGGGAGTAGAGGTGGCAGCGGGGGTAGAGGTGGCGGGAGGGTTCTCAACGACCTTGTCGGTCTCGTTGGCGGCCGCGGTCTCGGTGAGGGGAGCCTCGCCATCGGCGGCCGCGTCGGGAGCGTCGTCCTCCTTACCGGGGGAGTCGATCGCGACCTTAACTGCGATCTCACGACCCTCGATTTCCTTGCCGTTCATCTCGGAGCAAGCCTTTTGCTGGAGCTCCTCAGAGCCGAGGGTAACGAAACCGAAACCACGGCCCTTGCGGGGCTCACCGCGGGCCTGGAGCTTCTTGACCATGAAGCGGGGGATGGGGCGGAGGGCGATCTTGGCCTGGGTGGGGGAGTAGTCCTTGAAGATCTCAAGAAGCTGATTCACCAGTTAGCACGTGCTGTGAGAAGGGGATGTGCAAACTCACCCTGTCCTCCTTCAGGTCGTACGGCAGGTTCGCAACCATGACCTTTGTCTTGGAGGGAACACCGTCCTCGGGAGGACCGCGCTGCTTGCGTTCACGGGGCCCCTGGGGAGCAGACTTGTCGGCGCCCTTCTTTGCGGTAAGCGCTTCGTTCGTAGTTTCGGTTAGGGGAGCAACTTGGCCGGGTACATTTGTAGGGGTGGAGTCGGCAGGAGCCTCGTTGGAGAGCTCGACCTGCTCGGCGCCTTCAGCATCGGCCTGGTGCAGAACTTGATTAGCTTGTGAAGACAGGTGGTGGGGTGCGGAGGTACTTACAGCGCGTCCGCCGCGTCCAGCACGGCCGCCACGGCCACGACCGCGACCGCGTCCACGGGTGGAAGTACGGCGGCGGGCCTCGCCAGTGTTGCCCTCGGCTCCGCTGCCGGCGCCCTCAGCGTGGGCCTCGGGAGTGCGGGCGAGCTGGATGGAGACCTTGCGGTCCAGGATGGCCTTGCCGTTGAGCTCGGCGATGGCACGCTCAGCCTCGGACGGGGTCGAGAGGGCAACGAAGGCGTAGCCGACGGGGCGCGAGGTGCGTGGGTTGGTGGGGATGGTCGTGGACTCGCTGCACCACGTGTTAGCTTGGACGTGATGCGTCATGCGGAGAAACAGGGTCCACCTACACCAGGTAGTCCTTGAAGAATTCCTTCAACTCCCCCTCGGTGGTCGCGTACGCGAGGTTTCCAATGTAAAGTCGCCTGCCCTCAGCGGCACTCGCACGCACAGCCTCGTCCTCGGCTGCGGTGGGCTGTTGAGCGCCAGTGCTCTCCGTGGCGGTGGGAGCGTTGTTGTCGTTGAGGGAGGTGGTGGCCATCTGGGCGGTGACACTGTCGACAGGTGCGGACATGATTGCTGAAGTTTGGGTGGTTGACGAACACGAGTGATAGACCGGGCGTGTAAGAGGTTGACGAAACTTGGAGTCCTAGTAGACCGGTAAAGGTAACCTTGAACAGTAGTGGTGGTTGGTGGGTGATGGGATTGCCGAACCGCCTGCTGGTGGAACTGTTGACGAGGGGGGTGTGGAGTGGGTAGCTACGAGCCCGGGGAAGGTTGAGAGAGGATTGGGTTGATGGGGTGCGTGGTTGGTCTCTGTTGTTGACTTGATGGGGGAGAGAGAGGGCAGGCCTCGACCAGGCAGATTATTTTGAAGAGCGCAGCCATGGGGCTTGGCCGCATCCGGTAACGGAAGCGGCCCCTGCGCACAGTCGAGGGCCCACTTGCCTGAGAGCAGCGACCAGGAGTGCATGGATAGGGGAAACGGCGACTAGGCGGCCGCTGAGCGCATGGACGGGTTCGCCGCAGCACAAGCAGCGAGGACAGTCACTCTCTCTCACCCATTGCACGCTCATGTGTGCATGCTCTGGTGCGACTGCAGTGCCTGCACGCGACGCCCACCGCTGCTTAGCTAAGCGCGACGCCACAGCGCGCCCTAGCGCCACAGTAGACCTCGACCTTGGCTGCATGGCGCTCCAGCTTCACCTCCGCCCCACCGCCCACTGCCGCTAGAAGCATGAAAAAGACCCGCCTGCCGTTGACGTGTCCGCTAGTGCACCGCTTCTTCATGCACTGGATCCGGGGGCCCTGCCATTCAATTTTCCCATTCCTCGAGTCCTGTCCCGGCTAGCCTGCCTCACCGCAATCTGATTGCTGATTTACCGCCATGGCAGGTGCACTGCAAGCGCGCCGCGCACTGGTCGTCTACGGCTCGGAAACAGGGAACGCGCAGGATGTGGCTGAGGAGATGGGAAGGGTCGCTGAGCGACTGAGATTCCACACGGAAGTCGCTGAGCTCAACGCCATCACTCTTGTATGTCAGTGGCGGTGTCGCGTGCAAGGAGCGATGGTTGACTGTCGGTAGAGACAACTGCTGCAACACGATGTCGTTCTCATCGCCATTTCCACTACGGGCCAGGGTGACCTGCCACCCAATAGCCAGAAGTTTTGGAAAGCCATCCGAAGTGCTCGGCTGCGACCAGGATGCCTGCAACAGATGAGATTTGCATCCTTTGGTCTTGGTGATACTTCCTATCCAAAGTATAACTGGGCGCATCGCAAGCTCTACAACCGGCTCGTCCAGCTAGGAGCGCAGCCAGTCTGCGATCGCGGAGAGTCGGACGAGCAACATCCAGAGGGGTATGTCAACACGATTATCGCGACTGCAGATTTTCTTCTCATTTCCTGATGCATCGTCTCATGTTGCCTGTCAAACTGCGTATGCAGCAAAACTTGTGCCATCATTGCAATTACGGCGCATATCTGACTATTCCAAAGTATCGACGGATCTTTCCTACCATGGTCGACGAAACTGCGCCAACATCTCCTTGACTCTTACCCTCTCGCTGATGGTGTCGAGGCGATACCGGACGATGTTCTGCTAGACCCGAAATGGTTGCTTGCGCCTGCCGTCGATGATACAACATCTCCATCGAACACCAATACTGTACCTGCATTGAATGGCGATGCGACGGATGTTCCCCCACCAGATCTCCTGAAGATAGGTGACGGACTGACTGCGAAGATCACAAGCAATGAGAGAGTCACTCCAACAAATCATTGGCAGGATGTACGGCACATCAAGTTCGAGATACCAGAGACACATCCCTACGGTCCAGGCGATGTACTCACAATATACCCCAAGAACTTCCCGTCGGATGTATCGCAGTTCATTGAATGTATGGGCTGGACTTCCGAGGCTGATATACCCCTTCGCTTCGTACCTTCGTCGCCTTCAACGCCCCCTGACACCACCTTGCCGGTCCGGAATTTGGAGCCAGGTAGTCTGATTACCCTACGGCAGCTATTGACTAACCATCTCGACATCATCGCCATACCACGGAGGTCGTTTTTCGCCCAGCTCGCGCACTACACGAACGACGAGTTTCACAAGGCAAGATTACTTGAGTTTACCGACCCCCAGTATCTTGACGAACTCTACGACTACACTACACGCCCGCGCCGCAGCATATTAGAGGTATTACAGGAGTTTGAGTCTGTCAAAATACCCTGGCAGCGCGTATGCAGCATCATCCCTACATTGCGTGGTCGCCAGTTCAGCATCGCAAGCGCAATGAATCCTGACGCAGAGGCGGAGAATAGGACAAAGATTGAGCTCTTGATCGCGATTGTAAAGTACAAGACTGTCATTAAAAGAATTAGGCAGGGTGTTGCTACGCGATATATTGCTTCACTCACTCCAGGACAGGAGATCACAGTCACTCTTTCGCGAGGCGGACTGGGTGTAGGAAGAGAGGAACTTGATAGACCGGTCGTGATGATCGGACCAGGCACAGGTGTAGCTCCCATGCGTTCTCTGATATACCAACGTATACTATGGCGCGAGGAGCATAAGAAGCTACAAAACGGCCACGCGCAGCAAGATGACGGAAGTATAAAGGATCTTCTCTTTTTCGGCTGTCGTAACGCTGAATCAGACTACTTCTTCAAGGACGAGTGGGCGCAGCTTCAATCCTCTGGTGTGCCCCTAGAAGTTTTCGCGGCGTTCTCCCGAGACCAGGTCAGTGCCCAGCTCCACCCTGTTCAAGTCTACGCTAACGATATGACAGCGTCAAAAGGTTTACGTCCAAGATCTCATTCGGCAGCAATCCTCTCTCGTTTTCTCTCACCTCTTCGACAAATCCGGTATCCTATATATTTGCGGCTCGTCGGGTAAGATGCCCCAAGCAGTGCGCGAAGCGCTCATCGAAGCCTTTCAAGAACACGGGAATATGGATAGGGAGGGCGCAGAGGATTATTTAGTGAGCATGGAAAAGAGTGGTAGATATCGCCAAGAGACGTGGTAGACATTTGAATGACCTTGTACATATATTTTCGATCACCTACTCTCCGCTTAGTCTATCACTCAATCTATGGCCCGTATCTCGACTATGCCAAGTATCGCCCTTCTCTCAGTAGACACCCTAACCTCACTGGTGCGATTGGACGCATTGCCAGTTGACTCATGATTGACGATGCAGCAGATTACATCTTCGGGCATGGTAGGCTTATGCGGGGCGAACGCTTACGGTGCCACAAGCATTCTGCGTGGCGAGATTACGACACATCATTCGTACTATATGCCGGTGAGACATCGATATTATGGGCATTGCGGTCACCGATCAGATCTGAAGCAAGTCGCACTCGGCTAGAAAGAGATGTGAAGGGGTCGCCGGGGTATCAGCGAGCTTAGGCAAGCTACCTGGATGAATACATGTCTTCCGGCTCTATCACCTCTTTACTCATAGATATAGCAAAAAGGCCCAGCAAGCGTACTAGAGGCCTCTCTTATCGTCATATTCGGAAAGCCCAAATAATCGCCGAATGTCATAACATCATCCAACGTCGCATTCCTCGTCGGCGGGGTATTCAGAAACGTAAGCGTTCCAGCAATAGTAAACCGCCTATCTTCCAAATTCTGGTTCTGCCAGATCCACCAAGTTCGGTCAATCTGGGTGTGATGATGCCAGAAGTATGGGTCGGAAGGAGAGTTGTAGAAGTCTGAGCCCGCGTCACCAGCGATTGTCTGGTGGCCACCAAGGTGAACGCGAAGTTTTCCAGGAGAAGGGTTTTGGAGCGTGTCTTGGAAAGCGGAGATGTTGGCGCTGGCTGTGATTAGTTCGGCGACATCAGCGTCGGTGGTTTCCGAGGATGAGCGTGTGTTGATGTCGCGTCTGATGCATCTAGGTTTGTAGCCGAGACCATCCGGAGATGGATTTGGCGGTACGGTGGTGTCGAGAGAGGATACTGGTCCGATGTGCATCTTCCAACTGGACTGCCGTCAATATTCTGGACCTGATAAAGGCATTTGAGAATGACTACTCACTCTTTGAAGGGCCCAGAGGCAACACAACCACCTCCATTGCCAGGTGGAACTTCCACGAAGCATCGGTTGGGGTTAGGCACACAGCTGGCATTACGACCGGGAACATATACCCCATCTCCAGAGATACTCGTGTCGCTTCCATCGAGGAGAGGGGATGCGGCGGGGTTATCAGCCCACAACGCCCAGTTGTAATATGGAAGATAGCCCTTGTACCCGCACTCATTACGCAGAGTCTGCTCCCATGCCCACATAAAGTAACGGTGCCACGACAGAAAGTTTCCCTTGACAATGTCAGTCATTGTGTTAAGGCGTATTAGGGTTTGATGAGGAATACGTTTCCGTGCGTGTACTGTGTTAGCAGGATGTGGGTGACTACAAAGTCATCGTAGCGACTTGTCGCTCCAGAGGCAACAGCAGTTGGAGTTCTCGCCTTCTTCTTTCCCATACAGTGAACAGCTTCGATGTAGTTCAGCTTCTCCGAACGCTTCAGCTTAGACCTGTGGGGTGTGAGTGGCATCCTCCTTGAGGTTTGCATGAACATACCATTCACGGCGCCGAGCGACTGTACTTGAGGTACAGTTCCTGGTGTAGCTATCGGGGTGTTTGGCCACATCAAGCCATAGTTGATCAAGCCCGTGTTTGGCTAACGCATCGGTCTGAGGAGCTTGTGCTACGGTGCTTCCGACGGAGAGCAGAAAAGCAAATATAAACCTCATGGCGAGGTAACAGCTTGTTGGAGATGAAGTCAGTACCCCGTAGATGGCAATTGCGAGATTTCACGACTCTTTATATTTAGAATGCGGTTACACCAAAGCATGCGAGCCCAGCATAAGTGCACTTGTTCATGCAGGCGTCCGGTCGCGCATAGTTAGTGGAGAACACGCTTGCAGCCACAGGCTTCCATCCTTAATATCGCATATCTACGTTCTATCAGGGCTGTTCGAACCAGCATTTGAAAAGTAGTTTGCATAGAGGCTTTCAGCTTGCGTATGCATGCATCTGATGGTGGCGAAGGACCACACGTTATA